GAGGAGGCCGAGGGCCCGGCCGCCGCCGAGAGCCCGCGCGGGCCGCTGGGCCCGGGCTCGGGCATGGTGCTCTACCTGTGTCCAGAGGCGCAGTGCGGGCAGACCTTCGCCAAGAAGCACCAGCTGAAGGTGCACCTACTGACGCACAGCAGCAGCCAGGGCCAGAGGCCCTTCAAGTGCCCCCTGGGCGGCTGCGGCTGGACGTTCACCACCTCCTACAAGCTCAAGAGACACCTGCAGTCGCACGACAAACTGCGGCCCTTCGGCTGCCCGGCGGAGGGCTGTGGGAAGAGCTTCACCACCGTGTACAACCTCAAGGCGCACATGAAGGGCCACGAGCAGGAGAACTCGTTCAAGTGCGAGGTGTGCGAGGAGAGCTTCCCCACGCAGGCCAAGCTCAGCGCCCACCAGCGCAGCCACTTCGAGCCCGAGAGGCCCTACCAGTGCGCTTTTTCGGGCTGCAAGAAGACGTTCATCACGGTGAGTGCCCTCTTTTCCCATAACCGCGCCCACTTCAGGGAACAGGAGCTCTTCTCCTGCTCCTTCCCTGGCTGCAGCAAGCAGTACGACAAGGCTTGTCGTCTGAAAATTCACCTGCGGAGCCACACCGGCGAGAGACCTTTCCTGTGTGACTTCGACGGCTGTGGCTGGAACTTCACCAGCATGTCCAAACTGCTAAGGCACAAAAGGAAGCACGACGACGACCGGAGGTTCATGTGCCCCGTGGAAGGCTGTGGGAAATCGTTCACCAGGGCCGAGCACCTGAAAGGCCACAGCATAACCCACCTGGGCACGAAGCCTTTTGTGTGCCCCGTGGAAGGCTGCTCTGCCAGGTTCTCTGCTCGCAGCAGTCTCTACATTCACTCCAAGAAACACCTGCAGGACGTGGACACCTGGAAAAGCCGTTGCCCGGTCTCCACGTGTAACAAACTCTTCACATCCAAGCACAGCATGAAGACCCACATGGCCAAAAGGCACAACCTCGGCCAGAATCTCTTAGCTCAGCTAGAAGCTGCAAATTCCCTGACGCCCAGCAGCGAACTTACCAGCCAGGGACAGAGTGACCTCAGTGACGCAGAGCTGGTGTCTCTCTTCTCTGATGTGCCCGGCAGTAATAGTTCTGCTGCGGTGCTGGACACGGCATTGGTGAACTCTGGCATCTTGACCATTGATGTCGCTTCTGTGAGCTCAACTCTGGCCGGGAACCTCCCCGCTAGCAGTAGTGGTAATTCCTTAGGGCAGGCTCTGGACCCTCGGGCCTTGATGGCCACCACTGACCTTCCTCAAAGTCTGGATACCTCTCTCTTTTTTGGAACGACAGCCACCGGTTTTCAGCAGAGCCCCTTAGATATGGATGATGTCTCCAGTTCAGGTGCGGGGCCGTTGGGCTCCCTGGGCTCTTTGGCGATGAAAAACTCCAGTCAAGAGCCCCAGGCTTTGACCCCCAGCAGTAAGCTAACAGTGGACACAGATGCTCTGACTCCTTCAAGCACCCTCTGTGAAAACAGTGTCTCGGAACTACTGATGCCAACCAAAGCGGAATGGAACGTACACCCGGACTCGGACTTCTTCGGGCAGGAGGAGGAAACCCAGTTTGGCTTCTCCAATCCAGCAGGAAACCATGGTTGTCAGAAAGAAACAGATCTTATCACAGTGACTGGCAGCTCCTTTTTGGTATGAACTAACTCCATTCATTCCTCGCCACGTGGCTTACTTTTATTAATTACACTCAATGTTAAGGATATTCTGCACTAAATGTGTAACTGGTCAGTTTTTATAGGTTTGAAACAGAACAGAGCCCCGGGCTGCAAGTTTGGAGATTTAAATTCTGATCTTGAGTCTGGAACTGACAAGTTGTGTGACCCTGAGCAAGTCACTTAACTTATCTGAGCCTTAATGTCCTTATTTATAAAATGAGGTGGTTTCAATAGATTGTTTATAAGGTCCTTTAAGGTCTGTATTTTCATAATTTTGTGCTCTTTTTTGAAAAGTTTAGGAAATTTGTAATGATTAACTGTTGCATGAGCTTCTAATGTGATGAAAACTGCATTGAGAGTTAATAATCAGAAATCATGGAAATGCTGTTTAACTTTAAAAATAATGGAAATTTTACATAATGCCAAAGTATTTCTAAAACTTAGTGGTAGAGCTTGAAAATAGGAAGCTAAAAATATGGGCTGGTTCTTTTTGCCTGTTTATCTTTATAGCCTTTTTTTTTTTTTTTTTTTAAGTGTTTAGCCTGTGTTGTGGAATGTGCCAGCGCTTTGATATAACTCAGTCCCAGAAAAAATTTACTTGTGTTGAATAAGTGGCCTTAAATAAGTTATTTAGTCACACTAAGCCTCAGTTCCCTGGCTATAAAATGGTCATTGCAGTGTACATATACATGGTGCATCTTAGACTTCTTTTTCTATACCAGTAGTTAGTGTTGGAGGGAAAATATTATGTGTTTTGGCATGTTTTCGTGAATCTATCATGTTTCCTGCCTCTCTCATTCCTTCTTTTAAGAGGACAAATGGGCATAATTTAATATCACACTTGTGCAGTCAATAACATTTTATGAAGGTTAAGGAGTAGGGAAGGAAATCTTTTTCCCACAGATTAAGAAGGATTTTTCTCCTCAAAATTCATTTATCACATTGTCCATTAGACCAAATTATAGTGTCTTTGCTTTGTATTCAAAGGCAGCCCTTAGAGTGACTATAAAGCCTGCAGTTCCAAGAAAATCTGGGAATGGACCAGAGTGAGATTTTCTCCCCTCTCTCTCGAGAGCTCATTGTGTGCCTTCTCCCAGAGTTGGAATGAGAGGTTTTGTTTGCATTTGGAGTAAATAGTGTCTGTCTCACATGAGTATAACATTTTACAGTTTATATAAGTCTTTCAGAAATATTTGATTCTCACAATTTTGTGAGATAGTTGTGGCCAAGATTTCACAATAACTCATATTAAAATCTACCTAACTTACAATTGAATTTTGCTTAGTAACACACACACACACACACACACACACACACATATACACATATATCTATATATATATATATCATGCCCCCATTCTACTCTTCTGAATTTCATGATCTCTTTTGTTTTTAACCACTTGTTCTGGTACACTTAAATTGATGTCTGTTACCTTCTGTCAGCTCTGCTCCCTCCATAACCTATTCTCTAGCATGTGCACACCAGCCCTTGCCATGATCTCTTTTTTAAAATTTTAATTAGGTTTTTTAATATTCATCATCTCTCAGCCTTTATCCTCATGGCCCATTTTTTGGTCACAAAATTTACCACAGGTCTGAGTGTGCACTAAGAAATTATTTTCTGGATTTAGATGTCATTGCATTTATATATGAATCAATAATGGGGATATTTTATGTAAGATTTTAGTGAGATATGTACTTCTTTTAGTTTCCTAATTTTTTTTGCCATATAGTTCTGCTAACAAACACTATTAGTTGCTCTGAAACATTCTAACCCAGTACTGCTTGCATGTAGATGTTTGTGTATAGTAGTTATCATAGCAGTTTGGCAGTGCACTTTAAAATTTGCCACTTTGAAATGCATCTGTACTGTCTTTCTAATTTTTAAATTGGTTGTACTCATTTCGTGAAAAAGGAAAAGTATACATAAATTTGTAATTCAAGCAAATGGTCAGAGTTTGATTGTTTCTAATCATTTCAAAATTCTCCCTCAGCAGTTTGGAAGTATTTTTAAGTCCATTTTGGAAATGTGTTGTCATTAATTTCTCTTAAATATATTACTCTTTTTTTCCTACAGAATGGAATGCAGAGGCCTGAGGTGAACATTCAGGTCATAAGCATCTGTTAAGATATGTAACCATAAAATATTTTAAAATCCATTCACTTTGTTTCCTTAATCCCTCATTCCTAGTTCCTCCCATTAAACACTACCAGAAAATACACTTTTGTTATATTGTGTGGAATTTCCAAAGGACAAATTTTACTTTTCTTGAAGATAATCTTGTAATTGTTTGTGGTTTCACATGGTTTCTTTCAGTCAGTTTGTGTTTGTTCAAAAGATTTCTCTTTTAATACCATTTTCTCATCTGGGTGATGAAAATGGCATGAAATTATAGTCAGACCTGTGACTACAAATTAATGGTTACATTTCTCTTGGTGTTGGCACAAATTTTCCCTTTAAAAAATAATGGGATGTGATTTAATGTTAATTATCTCATTTGCCTATTGTGCCTCTTTGTTTTATTAAAATGTTGACAATTGAAAACATGCTTTTGCAGGAAGGTTTGTGTCCAGGGGACTGTTGGACATTTTCATCATAGTTAAAATATGTTCATCTTGACATTTTTACCATTATCTCATTATAGTATTACACAATTGAAAGCCTTGAGTAGTAGATGTAAAACTGGATAGACTATGAGGATCATTTTTCTCCGTGGATTAAATGCTTTCTATTCCCATCCAAGAAAAATACGAGAAGGCTTCGGTAATAACAGGGTATTTATGACTATTCCTTGATTCCAGGTAAAGCATTGATTAACTCCCTGTTTGGGAATACTCATAATCCCTTAGTAATTATTGATATCAAAAAGATTCACCTGATGATTTGTTAATAAAACCTAATTTATATACAGCTCACTCAAAATATGGGCTAATTGAAATATAAGGCTGAAATGAAATGTATGTATGTATTCCTTTTGAACAAAATATTTGCTTAGCAATTTTTTAAAAATGAAATGTGTATTGAGGATTTAGAGAACAGATTGTCTAAGCACTTTGACAGAACACAGCTACATATAAAAAGCAAATCACCCATTACAAATGAATTTTTTATATTTCTCAAATTTGAGTTGATTTTTAAGCTAGGGACCTTATTGTATATTTTAAGTTAACTTACTGACTACATGCGAAATATAAGGTGTAGTACTAGGGATATTGATAAGAGGAGGAAAATGTGGAGCCCAGCCGGGCTGGCGTGGCTCAGCAGTTGAGCACTGACCCATGAACCAGGAGATCGCAGTTTGATTCCCGGTCAGGGCACATGCCCGGGTTACGGGCTATGTCTCCCTCTCCCTTCCTCTTGTTGAAATCAATAAAAATATTTTTTTAAAAAATGTGGAGCTGAATCTTCTCTTTAGAGAGGACATAGGAATTCATATATTAAACACTGCACAGCTAAATAATTGCAGCAAACATGTTTTCCGACACCAAATTAATGGTTTGGAGGAAAAAGCAGAGCAGTAGCAATGTTTTAATGGGTGGTTGTATGTAGTTACGTAGAGAAGAGAGTAGATGAATTCCAGCCAAGGAGAGAAGCACAGAATTTGAAATGGAATTGACCATACAACACTGGTAAAGACAACCTAGCTCAAATACAGAGCTCATGTTTTGTAAGCGCTGGGTGTTAGGGTTGGACTTTCAGTATGGAAGCAAACTCCGGAGAGCTGTAAAAACTAGTCACAGTGGACAGGACTTTTTTCTGGACATGATTAAGAGCCAGTGGAGATACGTAAGAAGGAAGTCAAATGATGAATATTTGTATAGAAAGTTTAATACAGTAGACATGTACAATGTGTATTTAATTGAGGGAGGTAGGAAAATCATTTAGAAGTCTATTGTAATAATTTCAGGATGTGATGATGAAGGCTGGGACTGGAGTTGTGTCAGGGAATGACACATATTGGAGATGTTTCCAAACTGAGGAAACAAACTGGGGGACTCATTGAATATATGGGGCATCCATCAGAAAAAGAAAGATCAAAAAGGATCTCTAAGGATTCCTTAGAGACTGTAAATAACATTTCATTAACATGAACAATAAGTTTGAGTATTGAGGTTTTTCAGAAATATATATGGAAAAAAGATGAGGGCATGTTTAATTCATTGGGAAATGATAAGTCTTGGTTATCGCTAAATGAACTGTAAGTCTTGTTGTATTACACGCCCTATTATACAGCAGAGACCATTTCACCTCCCTTGGCCCCTCATGTTCTCCGGTTCACATTTCATGCTTGCGCTCTTGTTTGCCTCTTAGTATTCACAGGCTTCTTCAACCACACACGGTGCCCTCCGGAACTCTACCTCCAAACGAGCTCTGCCACCTCTGTCTGACCCTTCTTTCTGCTGCTGCTCCCTTCCCTCCTAAGGATATTCAGTGGGTATTTTATGTGGCACTTAATAATATAATAAATCATTTCTCCATAAGTTGGGAGATGCTGTTTAGTCATTAATCTCAGTAGTTCCTCAGTATTAACTTTATTAGATTGAGTTTTACCCGTATTTTTCTTAGAATAGAAGAGACAGGGCTAGGATTGCCCGAAACTTTCATGTGGTCCTTGGGGCTTCTTACTTATAATCCCGGCCACTAATTAACACGGTATGGGAACTCAGTCACAGGAACCATATCCTGTTAGCTACATACATATTATTACCATATGTATGTATTTTCTCTTAACACATTTTCTCTTTTTCATTGTTACCCTTACCAATAATGGTGATCACTCAGAAGGAATGGAGTCCAAAGAAAAAGTGAGAGTAAGTAAGCAGCATAAATGACTATGTAGCAATTACATTTTGTTTGATGGTGAATTTGCTGCCCTGCCTTGTCAACGGCACACTCCATCTCACAGTAGTTTACCACTGACATTTATGGACCTAAAAACGCATTGCCTGTCACTTAGCTACAGAAAATAATTCAGTATTTTAAACAAAGCAGACAATGATTCCTAAGAGTACTAATAAGGTGTGAATCCCTTAGGAATATCTCTTATTGTTACCAGCTTGTTAAGCAGCTGGTAATTATTGAGTCCTACTCTGTGTGAGGCACTATGAGGTTTAACACAAAAGTATATTTCATCAATTCATTCAAACAAACATTTTTTTCCTTTTTGAACAAGTTTTAAAATTAAATGTATTGGGGCGACATTGGTTAATAAGATTATATAGGTTTCAAGTGTACATTTCTATGATACATGATCTGCATATTGATTGCATTGTGTGTCCACCACCCAGAGTCAAATCATCTTCCATGACCATATATTTGGCCCCCTTTACCCTTTACAACCCCTCCAACCCCCTTCGCTCTGATAATCATCAGACTGTTATCTGTGTTTATGACCATTTTTGAGCATATATTTGACAAGTTTTGTCCTTGTACTCACATCCATTATGATTGAGACAGAGAAACAAAAATCAAGCAATGAGCTTGGCTGGCGTGGCTCAGCAGTCGAGTGTCGACCTAGGATCAAGAGATGGTGGTTCGATTCCCAGTCAGGGCACGTGCCCGGGTTGTGGGCTCCATCCCCAGCAGGGGGCGTGCAGGAGGCAGCCGATCCATGACTCATCATTGATGTTTCTGTCTGTCTCTCCCTTTCTCTTCCTCTCTCTGAAATCAATAAAGATACATTTTTTTAAAAAAAAAAGCAATGAAAAATAATATAATATATAATCAAGTTTTAAATAATTACATTTTGGAACAATATAGATTTAAATAGAATAGCAGTTCTCAGAGTATGGACTAAACATTGTGATGAGGAAAATTCAATGCATAGATTATCAAAAGCTATTTAAAAAATTCTAAGAATCTAAAATTTAATTTGGGATACAGCAAATAGAGTCAACTCTCCTATTAAACTAGAAACAGAATTTTGGGTGGTAGCTTAAATAATTATAGCAAAATCCATTGGGAGATACATTTTAAATTACGTTTTCTCTTATTTATTCTAGATGGGAATACTGGATGTAACAAGTGTTATATCTGTTAGTGATCTTTTGGAAATGATATAAGACAAATAGGTTATTTTCAAACAAGGAAACTATAGTACTTAAATAAATGGTATTAAGCTAAATAAAATTCCCTCATATTATACACAAAAACAATATTTAATTTTCTGAAACAAAAAACAAGGACCTTAATTAAAAAGTAATTATTTCATATAGCTACATAGTTGAAAAGAAGGGGATATAAATTTCATGTGCTATTTAGGACTGAGAACTGAAATTTAGAGAATTTCTAGAGAATCCTGAGAATTCACCAATCTTGGTGAGAGTCAGGGTAATCATCAAGCAAGTATTTAAGATTCTGAATAAAATTTAAGTAGCTTAACCCATTTGGAAAGGGGAACAAAAGTCCACCATAATGAAACAAAACTCTCTTTAGTGACAAGCAACACTAGGTCTCCAAGATGTAAAACAGTTTAAAAATGGTAGCAAAAACAAAGACATTTCAACTGTCAGACATTTTCACTCTGGAATAAAGCCAAGAAATCAATCTTTATCAGGATCTATTTCCCTTTCCTGTTTACACATACAGTGGAGAGATATAACTGCAGTATGAGACTGTATTATGTTGGATGTGGAAGAAGGAAGCTGGGTCACATGTCTGTTTGTGGGGAAATCAGCCAAAACAAAGAGCTGAAATGGAAATTTCACAGGCAAATGACTCAGGGAACAGAGCAGCAGTTCATTCCAGGCTAGTTCCAATTTTAGAGTATTTGCTGCTGGTAGCAGTGAGTACTTCTTTCCCTGCTCATTCACGTTGGCATTGGTTAGGAATGCTAAACTTAGCACTTGGTGTTTCTAAGGAAATGCAACATTTCCCCCCTTAAATCACTTATTTTCCTGTGCTGCTTAGAGCCAATTATTATTGTCAGTTACAACTTGTTAGTTACCAATAATAGCAATAATAATTGTATCAGATGCCATGACAGATTAAAGGACCAAAGAGTTTTATTTTTGCCTCACGTTTTAAAATGTCATTAAGTACAATTTGTTTCTCTCCTTTTTTTTAATTTGAGGACTCACTTTCTCACTTGGAAATGCCACTGTCTTTTATGTACTTAGAAAGAAATAGAACTTGGGAGCAATGTTAAAGTAAGTGTTTGCAATGATAACTTTAGAAATTTGGTTGCTTTGAAAATGGAGAAGCCTAGGTTAGCTGCA